ACAATTTAATCATTTGTAGAGATGAACAGCTTGGACGTTGCTCTGTGGATTACATTAGTTACATTAAATGTGTACAATTTAATCATTTGTAGAGATGAACAGCTTGGACGTTGCTCTGTGGGTTACATTAAATGTGTACAATTTAATCATTTGTAGAGATGAACAGCTTGGACGTTGCTCTGTAGGTTACATTAAATGTGTACAATTTAATCATTTGTAGAGAACATGAAACACGTTGCTTGGACATTAAATGTGTACAATTTAATCATTTGTAGAGATGAACAGCTTGGACGTTGCTCTGTGGTTACATTAAATGTGTACAATTTAATCATTTGTAGAGATGAACAGCTTGGACGTTGCTCTGTAGGGTACATTAAATGTGTACAATTTAATCATTTGTAGAGCTGAACAGCTTGGACGTTGCTCTGTGGGTTACATTAAATGTGTACAATTTAATCATTTGTAGAGATGAACAGCTTGGACGTTGCTCTGTAGGTTACATTAAATGTGTACAATTTAATCATTTGTAGAGATGAACAGCTTGGACGTTGCTCTGTAGGTTACATTAAATGTGTACAATTTAATCATTTGTAGAGATGAACAGCTTGGACGTTGCTCTGTGGGTTACATTAAATGTGTACAATTTAATCATTTGTAGAGATGAACAGCTTGGACGTTGCTCTGTAGGTTACATTAAATGTGTACAATTTAATCATTTGTAGAGCTGAACAGCTTGGACGTTGCTCTGTAGGTTACATTAAATGTGTACAATTTAATCATTTGTAGAGATGAACAGCTTGGACGTTGCTCTGTGGGTTACATTAAATGTGTACAATTTAATCATTTGTAGAGATGAACAGCTTGGACGTTGCTCTGTAGGTTGATTAAATGTGTACAATGTAATCATTTGTAGAGATCAACAGCTTGGACGTTGCTCTGTAGGTTACATTAAATCGTGTACAATTTAATCATTTGTAAAGATAAACAGCTTGGACGTTGCTCTGTTGGTTACATTAAATGTGTACAATTTAATCATTTGTAGAGCTGAACAGCTTGGACGTTGCTCTGTAGGTTTACATTAAATGTGTACAATTTAATCATTTGTAGAGCTGAACAGCTTGGACGTTGCTCTGTAGGTTACATTAAATGTGTACAATTTAATCATTTGTAGAGATGAACAGCTTGGACGTTGCTCTGTGGGTTACATTAAATGTGTACAATTTAATCATTTGTAAGAGCTGAACAGCTTGGACGTTGCTCTGTAGGATACATTAAATGTGTACAATTTAATCATTTGTAGAGCTGAACAGCTTGGACGTTGCTCTGTAGGTTACATTAAATGTGTACAATTTAATCATTTGTGAACAGCTTGGAGAGGTTACTGAACAGCTTGGACGTTGCTCTGTAGGTTACATTAAATGTGTACAATTTAATCATTTGTAGAGCTGAACAGCTTGGACGTTGCTCTGTAGGTTACATTAAATGTGTACAATTTAATCATTTGTAGAGATGAACAGCTTGGACGTTGCTCTGTAGGTTACATTAAATGTGTACAATTTAATCATTTGTAGAGATGAACAGCTTGGACGTTGCTCTGTAGGTTACATTAAATGTGTACAATTTAATCATTTGTAGAGATGAACAGCTTGGACGTTGCTCTGTAGGTTACATTAAATGTGTACAATTTAATCATTTGTAGAGATGAACAGCTTGGACGTTGCTCTGTACCTTACATTAAATGTGTACAATTTAATCATTTGTAGAGATGAACAGCTTGGACGTTGCTCTGTAGGTTACATTAAATGTGTACAATTTAATCATTTGTAGAGATGAACAGCTTGGACGTTGCTCTGTAGGTTACATTAAATGTGTACAATTTAATCATTTGTAGAGATGAACAGCTTGGACGTTGCTGTGTACATTAAATGTGTACAATTTAATCATTTGTAGAGAGCTGAACAGCTTGGACGTTGCTCTGTAGGTTACATTAAATGTGTACAATTTAATCATTTGTAGAGATGAACAGCTTGGACGTTGCTCTTGTAAAGGTTACATTAAATGTGTACAATTTAATCATTTGTAGAGCTGAACAGCTTGGACGTTGCTCTGTAGGTTACATTAAATGTGTACAATTTAATCATTTGTAGAGCTGAACAGCTTGGACGTTGCTCTGTAGGTTACATTAAATGTGTACAATTTAATCATTTGTAGAGATGAACAGCTTGGACGTTGCTCTGTAGGTTACATTAAATGTGTACAATTTAATCATTTGTAGAGATAAACAGCTTGGACGTTGCTCTGTAGGTTACATTAAATGTGTACAATGTAATCATTTGTAGAGATGAACAGCTTGGACGTTGCTCTGTCGTACAACAGATGACATCGTAATGACTTGTAATCGTCACTGCTGTACACTGTGATCCACTGTGTCATTGGTTGATCAACAGTGTGATGATGGAGAGACCTCTATTAGCTGTTAAGTTGCAGCTGCTGTTTTTTCATCATCCACGTGTATAGGTAATGGCTATTTGTTCAAGAGTCAACAAGGGAAGCTCAGGGTCTCAATGCATCACAGCTTTCTGTGAGCGATGTTTCATATCAGTGTTATTTGATGGTTTGAGTACCCAAATAAGTGTTTGGTTTAAAAACAATTATAGTTTCTATATAAGTACCATTCAACATTAATGATTTAAACTAAATTAATTTTCTTTAAAACGTGATGGCCACCAGAATCAATGGCTATTTGAAGACCTCTTCGACACAAAGATATCTATGCAATATCTCACAAACACAGTGATTGATAAACATCAAACCAATACAAATATACCAAAATAGCTTGTATACTTCTTGTAAACGCCTTCAAAGTGTTTTCTTTGGGTACAAGATTCATAACACATTCTGTCAGTGTAGCACTTGCTTCACAATCAAAAAATGATTATAATCAAAATTATACCCTTATATTTTTTATAACGTAAACGGTACATACTGACAATTTATATTTGTTATTTTCAAAAATAAACAACCGAAAGCTATCTAACCTTTAAAAAATTCTACTTACCTTCTAAATCGTTCTATGAAAATAATCTGTCAAGAGTTCATGTCGAGAAAATAAACGGTCATTTAACCGATGATTGTGGAAAAAAGTAAGAGCGTGTTTTGTCGCTGACGTTATTCTCTGTTTTCGCATAATTAACTTCGTTGTCCACATTATGTAGTAAACTATCGATTAAATATTGACTGATCCTTAGTGTGTACATACAGGTGACGCACAGCTAAAGTACCTTAGTTCCTACACATTCAACGAAGTAAATCAAACAAACAACAACGGCATGATAAGTAGAATCAATGAGAAATACTTGTTCACAGAGATTAATCTACCTTCCTTGAAAGTGTCAAAATAAGGAATGACCTCGTACGCGCGCGTATGGCGCTGCTGCGAGTGCACGTGCAAACTCTAGGATAGGTTTTAGTTCTTTGAAACAGGTTATTTTTAAGAAGGGTCTTCAAGACATACAATTCCTTTTTGTGTTTTTTTTTCAAACTTCCAGCATGTCCAGTTTCGGTGCAAACTTCAATGTAATTTGAAATATATCCCAGCTATAAAATCTCAGTGTGTGTAGCCTAGGGCTGCGCAATATAACCGGTTTACCGGTATTTACCGGTTCACACATGAAAACGATACGTATTGCGATACGCTGATCGAAAACCGGTATAACACTCGGAAATCTTCGGATATTTCCTTGTTATTTGTGCCAAATATTATTCACAAATATTATTCACATTTTTATTCTATCATGACTAAAATTTGTTATTAAAGCTTAATCAAGCATAGTGATTTTGTTGTGTTTTTGCTCTTTAAATCAAGCAGTAACTCGATTATATGTAGTTTTTTTGTTTAAAAATAGTTCATGCAATATATTGCAATACATATCGCAATACATGCTTTCGCATCGCAATATATCGCAATATGAATATTCTCTGCAATACCCACCCCTAGTGTAGCCCCAGCAAAGTGAAATGTAACAAATCACTAAGTTTCATTCCATGCAATTAACAAACCTTTCAATATGCTTCTCTAAGTAAACCTCCTTTGCCCTCCTGACCGTAACATTTAATACCGAATTCAGTGTACGCCCTGGGGGTATTTCACATAAAACTGTAAAGAACTTAGAATGTGTGTGGAAATAATGTTTATTGGGCAAGTCCGGGTATTAAAAACTCAGTTTGAAACATAGCTTGTTTGCTCCATAATCCCAGAAATGAAACGATTCACTGAAGTATATATATTCTGCACCAGGGTCTTCCAACAACGTGCAAAACCACTAAGGAAATGGCGATACCTGCTAAAAGCCTTGTATGTATATGAACATTCTTGACTATATCACTAATCCAACTGGATTTCAACTGGAGGAAATAAAGAATATCTATCCATCTCACGGACGCACACGACTATGGTAAGTGGTTTCCCCACAAAACCGTTGATTTTATTTCTTTTGTAATAATTATGCAATCGCATTCACATACACCTTGTACAGTTTTCCTTAAAGCTAGACAACTCGAACACAGGTCAATACGTCAGTGGCTGTTAGTCACGTTAGCAGATTCGTAACATGGACAGAGCTAGCAAAACTGACTTAACTGGCATGTTTTAAAGATACTATACACATATATACTGAGAATTCCTCAACAACAGATATATCGTCCGACCTAATGCCCACTAGAATTTTCCATAATGAAGACATTAACATGTCACAACACTACCTACATTTTAATGCCATAAGCATGTTCAAATGAACATGGTCGTGATTAACGGAGTTATGACACACACTGTGTGTCAGTGAGTTACCGCTTAAACCTGTCAAGAATGTATATTACAATTGCTGCATTAAAGAGAAGACAGATATGTTCCCAAGTGTCAAGTCAGCCTTTTGGCATTTCCCTTGTCACGGTAACTTTTTTACCTGACCACGAAACCCACCTTTGTGCATATGGCATGTAGACTTCTTTGACGAAGGTTCCAGGATGAATGCATGGCGTACACCCTTCTTTAGTTGATGGTTGAAGGCTTGTTGAAAATCTTTTACACGCCGAATGAGTAAAGGGGTTGGTTCACCGTTGTTCTTTGCGAAGCGATTCGTCCTAATGTATTGTGAGCGTTTAAACTGTTGATGAAGGCTCGCCGTGCACTGTTCCTGATTGTGTTCCAATTCCACACTTGATGCTGGGGCTCTGAAAATATCAACCTATCTCACAGACGCAGTTTTAATCTTTGGATCCGAAATGTCCATGTCGATAGAACAAGAGAAGCCTTATGAAGAGCCAGCAATCAGACTGTGTTTCAACGCAACTGTGTATGCTCGCGTGGCTGTGGGGATTCTTGGCGTGGCAATACTGTGCCATCTGGCCAGTACAGGGTCATCGTACTGGATAGCTGGGGAGCTGGACGGCCACGTGGTGTGGCATGAAGGTCTATGGCAGAGCTGTTACATCAAACCGTTGGACACGTGGGTGTGCGTGTCGTATGTGCTTGACCACCACATCAACACTGTACCAGGTATGCTATAAGTCTTTGTGAATGCGTGAGTGAGTGAGTGTGTTTTACGCCGCCATTAGCACTATTGCGGCTGGGTCACCAGAAAACGGGAATACTTTAACCACTAGGCTACCACACACGTATTAGAGCTCTCACGTATTATTATAGACGAATAGTAATATAAGGTTTCAAATCAAACAACAGGTTGTGATGTAATATTACGGGCCATTTGCGCCCGCTTGATCTTCATAATGTTAGAAATGAATAAACTTTGTTAAGTTATGTGTTGTGTCCATATGAATAACAACTTTGTTATACATTAGTCTGTGGTCCAAGTGTATTTTCTGTAGAAGTTTAAGCCGACAGAACAAATGTATGGTAAAAGCATAATCTTCATAGTTAGATTCTGTCAACAGTTCTGGAAGACTCCAAGAAGTATCATGTTCATTACAGACATACAATAATGAGGAATTTGGATTATGAAATGTTCTCAACTTTTCTGAAATTTCAGCCTCTTTTCTTCCCACCATACACCCAAGTTAACTGCATTGCCTGAACTAAGTGATAAATGCCCCTATCTGTCTGAGCAATCATTCATGAATTCAATGTCAACCGTACAGACAGCGTTGGCGAAAGTGCAACATACTTTACCGCCACGTCAAATCCCATTTTATATTGCCTCATTGATATCCATGTCAGAAAACAAGACATTGTATTACTAAGTTAGGGATCAGTAGAGCCACTCTCCTACCCAGAGTTCCATGCGGCCAGCCAGCTGAGTACCTCTGCCACAGGCCAGAAAGATGTGACGATTCGTCACATCTTACACAGTCCATTCTATATAATGTACATATTTCGTAACTCTTTTATTTTTGATGAGTCCACACATCTAATTAAACGTCATTGTTAGAATGGTTTAGTTTCACAGACAAAATATCCTAAAACATGTCACACTATTTCGATTTGCGTAGCGATCATTTGTTTACATGGGTTATACGGCAGCACGTCCTGCCATCGAAGCCTTAGGGAGAGCAAACGATGAAGCCCCTGTGATAAATAAATTTGTATTGTCATAAACCTTACTGTCGCAGTTGTAGAAGATTATTTGCGTAACAATGTAAACCATTATGAAGACCGCGCCGAATCGCTTCCGTTGGGCCAGTATCTTCTTATTTACGAATATGCGTGTTTGTTTACAAACAAGAGAAAAGTTCGGTCACGTGATATGCAAATTAGTCTGTGAGCCGGAGTGTGTAGTAGAGCCTGATCAGTGACCTTAGTTACTTTTTAAGTATAAATGGCAGCTGGAATGTCTTCGCGCATAAGCACCTGACAAAAGGGACAAGCGCCACGCCTTTTTGTCCATTTTCACAGTTAATGAAATTCATGTAATTCTCATTTTCATAAATGTTTGACATTTATAAGGTAAAGAAACAGTGCATGTTCTGTTTTATGGTCCTGCGTGCTAGTTAATGGTATGTAATATTCAACAGATGTAATGGTGACGAACACCTGATAGGCTAGTCATAGAACTGTTGCCATGGTTACTGAACATATCATTAAATGATAGATCGGTTTCTGTATTTTTATTTGAGAATGTTACATTGAGAAATGTCACATTTCTTAAGAAAATTAATACAAAGAATAAGATTAACAAAAATTATTTAGTTGTGTGGAAATAAATAGTAAATGTGCATAACGTTCTTCCAGATGCACGTGTATGTTCATAATTAATTGTTCATTTGAGAGTTTAGTTGAGTGAGTTTACTCACTTATAATCTGCACTGAGTTAACTGCCAGGGAGCTGACATCTAGGCATTCCGAGGTGACACACGTGTTTGTCATCGTTATTTATGTACGGCATCACGTTAAGCCTTGCATGTTTTTTTACTTTTTATCTACAAACATTCACGTAAACCTCACGATAATTGCACTCACTCACTCAATCCATCTGATATGTATGGTGGCTGATTAGGGCCATCCCTTTCTCGCCTTAAAATTCGGAGGCGAGAGTGGCTGATTAGGGCCATCGCTTTATATGTGTGTTGTACAATTGCACAATAAACATGTATATAAGATATTGAATATATACAGTTAACCAGGGTAGAGACGTAGATATATATATAGATACACACAGACACAGACAGCGACAGTTATCCACCACTTGATGTGCTCAGATAAGTTGTTGGAAATACGTATCGGGTTGCCGAATGAAGATCAATGGTTGGAAAGTACCTGTCGAGTTGAAGATCAATGGCTGGTAAGAACCTCTCGGGTTGCCGTGTGAAGATCTATGGTTGGAGAGTATCCATATGATTGCCATGTGAAGATCATTGATTGGGAAGCACCCACCGAGTTGCCGTGTGAAGATCAAGGATTGAGAAGTACAAATCGGGCTGAAATATGAAGATCAAGGGTTTAGAAGTACCCATCGAGTTACCGTGTTAAGATCAGTGGTTGAGAAGCATCCATCGAGTTGCCGTGTGAAGATCAAGAGTTGAGATGTACACATCGTGTTGGCATGTGAAGATCAATGGTTTAGAAGTACCCTTCGAGTTTGAGTGAGTTTGGTTTTACGCCACTTTTGGCAATATTCCAGCAATATTACGGCGGGGGACACCAGAAATGGACTTCACACAATGTACCCATGTGGGGAATCGAACCCGGGTCTTCGGCGTGACGAACGAACGCTTTAACCACTCGGCTATCCCACCGCCCCTAAGTGTAAAGGGTTGCAGTGTGAATCGAACCCGGGTCTTCGGCGTGACGAACGAACGCTTTAACCACTCGGCTATCCCACCGCCCCTAAGTGTAAAGGGTTGCAGTGTGACATGTGACAATCAAATGGCAATATATTACTTTCCGGCTATGTCTCGGAATCTGTTTTACATTGTTTTCCACATTTTTCGAACAATGTCTTCAACAAAAGAAGCGTTTCTTGAACGTTATATTACAACTACCCTCGGGGTGCATATTACTTACAAGCGTCATCTGTCTTGCGTTTGACACAAGAAGAATCTAAACCTGCCTCCGCATTTGACACTGCTTCCGGCCATGTGGTGTATTCAAGTACAGTTAACACGATAGCAGGCGCCATGCACATTTAGACATAACTCAGTCTCTCGCAGGGATTTCTCAGTGCGATGGCTTAAAGTGAACAACTAATCCCAACATGTGGAAGTTACGGGAAGGGCAATACAGGAGTGTTCGAATCCCCTTATGATGTTTAGGTTTTCATCACCATATCCTTGAACTTGGCTTTCACCAAAGTTGAAACATAAATCATTTACTGCTCACAATAAGCCGACATGCAGTTGTATAACTTTTCAAAGAGTTGTAAAACACTCACTCACTCAGCGTTGGTGGAGGCATTGAGCAATATATGAATTCTATTCGTAAGCACATTACACCCAGGGTGACAAACCCAATGAAGGGACCTCAGTATCACTCCATCGCCATGTGACCACGATAAAATGAAATATTTTGAAAATGCATTAATGTTGCCAGTAATGTTAGATGATAATGAATGCTTCAGTTGTCTGGTCCAGACTCGATTATTTACAGCCCGCTGCCATATAGCTGGAATACTGATGAGTGCGGCGTAAAAGTAAACTCACATACTCACTTTAATTGTACAACTCATGCGTTGCAGGTTGGTTCAAAGCTTCCCAGACTATGGCGATATTGGCGATAGTGTCCTCCGTCCCGGCAGCCATGACGATGTTGTTGTACGCGTTGCTGCCGACCCTAGGGGGGAGGAAGGTCGCCTCTGTCCTCTCCATCGTTCTCTGTATCACGTCAGGTAAAGTTAAGTCAATATCATAGCAGGTGGCAAGGCTTTGGGGGTTTTTTGTTTGATTTTTTTTTTAATTACTGTTCGGTTACCATTCAGTTATGAAATGTTATCACTACCTGTATTCCATATCATGCTTCGTATCAGGCCTCAACCCATATCAGACCGAAGCCAGATATGGATGTCGTGGGGAGATACGAGACTTGATATGGAAAACAAAAGGTGATAATCTCTACGCTATCATCCAAAACCGGCCTGCAGATATCGCTTGGCTGCATCAAGCCATCTTGAAACTGAAATTGCATGACATTGATTCTCAGACCAGTTTTGACAAACCTTAGAGGTTTAAACTATTATCGACTTGTAGATGTATCGTGTCTTCATTTAATGCTTGTCGTAAAAGGCGACTAACGGGATCGGGTGGTCAGGCTCGCTGACTTTGTTGACACGTCAGCCCAGTTGCGTATATCGATGTTCATCCTGTTGATCATTGGATTGTCTGGCCCAGACTCGAATATTTAAAGACCGCCGCCTTAGAGCTTGAATATTGCTTGAATATTGCGGCGTTAAAAACAAACAAAACTTATATCAAAAGACACTCTGGCACAAGTTTTACAATATCTACTCTTGAAGTCGCCGTCTACCCAAAATCGGCCATTTATTTATATTTCTGTGTTCCTGCAGGTGTGTTCGTATTGACTGCCGTCATCGTGTTCGCCACTCTCTATCCCCTTCTTCCTGATCACGCCACGCAAGACGTCTATTTTCATTGGTCATTCGGCGTTGACGTCACAGCCGCCATCTTGTTCTTCATACCCCCTGCACTACTCATCGTGGACATGCGCAAATCATTGCTGTGGATCGTCTAAAACATTTCATTGATGAACTTGTGTCATGCATTTCCAAATAAACCATCTCATAGTAATATCAAAAAACTTTATTCGATTTTGGATTTTTAAAATGTGTGAGTGTTTGTGAGTTTTAGTTTTACGCCACTTTCAGCAATATTCCAGCAATATCACGTCGGGGATTTGTAAAATATAATTTACATTTCACAGCTGTAAACACACGAATATTTAAAACATATATTTGGGGAGGAGAAAATGGAGGAAGAGTCATGAGCGAAATGTTTCGGGCCATACTGGGAAACCCATAATCTAGGTTTTTAAGTTTGCAATATCGTTTTATCAACTCGAGATATACACTTGGTGTTATTTTTATTAGAACTGTACTTGTGTAACTAAGTATTGGCATATGGACATTTACTGTTGGCCAGATTCTGAGCGGCATGTGATAAAACAACCATTAATCCATATAAAGGCATTTCATAAATATATACACTATAGAAAAGTATTTGGCCTCGCAATTTGTGGTGCTCATACGATATTTTCAATCTAGAGTTACGTTGAATCTTACCGGTAGACTTGACGTCGTTTAGAAATTGCAAACAAATCGACTGTTTTAATTAGGTTTATGAACACCTGAAAGTTAATTAAAAACCTCGTATATCTGGAGCCCTGTTAGCACTCGCGTCGGAAATATGATGGAAAATATCCAGTCCGGAAGATGCGTCTCTTGACAAACGAAAACACACTTAATAATGCCAAAATGCTGATTGCGTGAGTCCGTAGTACCGGGTGTTTTTTAGCAAAATGGGAACTACAGTAACTATAGATCGGGTACGAGTTGCTCTCCGAAAATGTTCATTGTAATCTCATAAAGAAAACCCAAACCCTAGGCTGTTCAGAACGGACGCTATCGAAAATTTTGCCTTTGCTTCTCATTAATCCAGGTTTGTATCCTTTGCAGCTGGCTTGGGCGATTCTTGAACGTAGGCTGCAGGCCATGATCCACCAGCAGACAATATGGCGGCTGCAAGCCATGGGACCACCAGTAGAGAATGTGGCGGCTGCATGCCATGCTCCACCAGTAGAAAATCTGGCGGCTGCAAGCCATGATCCACCAGCAGACAATATGGCGGCTGCTGCCATGGATCCGCCAGTAGAGAATCTGGCGGCTGCAAGCCATGATCCACCAGTAGAGAATCTGGCGGCTGCAGGCCATGATCCACCAGTAGAGAATCTGGCGGCTGCAGGCCATGATCCACCAGTAGAGAATCTGGCGGCTGCAGGCCATGGATCCACCAGTAGAGAATCTGGCAGCTGATGATCCACCAGTAGAGAATCTGGCGGCTGCAGGCCATGATCCACCAGTAGAGAATCTGGCGGCTGCAAGCCATGATCCACCAGTAGAGAATCTGGCGGCTGCATGCCATGGATCCACCAGTAGAGAATCTGGCGGCTGCAAGCCATGGATCCACCAGTAGAGAATCTGGCGGCTGCAAGCAATGGATCCACCAGTAGAAAATCTGGCAGCTGCAAGCCCTAGATCCACCAGTAGAATCTGGCGGTTGAATGCCATGGATCCGCCGGTAAAGAATCTTGCGGTTGCATGCCATGGATCCACCAGTAGAATCTGGCGGTTGCATGCCATGGATCCGCCAGTAAAGAATCTTGCAGTTGCATGCCATGGACCCACCAGTAGAAAATCTGGCAGCTGCAAGCCATGGATCCACCAGTAGAAAATCTGGCAGCTGCAAGCCATGGATCCACCAGTAGAAAATCTGGCATCTGCAAGCCATGGATCCACCAGTAGAATCTGGCGGTTGCATGCCACGATCCACCAGTAGAATCTGGCGGTTGCATGCCACGATCCACCAGTAGAATCTGGCGGTTGCAGCGGCTGCCTCAGGGGCTGCAGCGATTCCCTCTTGGCTCTATGATATTTGCTTGTTTGTTGTTTAACGCCGCACTCGTCAATAGTCCAGCTATATCGAGGTCAGAAAATCGAGTCTGGACCTGACAGCCTAGTGATTAAGATCATGAGCATCGAACTACATGCTTTTGAAAAGATGACATGCATCAACCAAGTCCACGAATCTGACCACCCGTCCACGTTAGTCGCCCCATACGAATAGCATGGGTCGTCGTTGATTAGTTCTATTCTGGGTCTTCTCGGGTCGACTGTAACAGAAGACTCGCCGGGACATGCTGTCATCCGGGCATGTGGCTTTTACGCTCGCTATTGAGTATTTAGGGGAGCGTAATTATTTTCCATGTGTACATTATTGTGGCTGACTATTCAGAATCCGTTAGCAAGGTAGAATGGTTATGATTGTAAAACAATTTGTTCAGTGGAACATCCGTCACTGCAAAGCGTGTTAAAATGTATCAAGACTATAGTACAACGTTCTGCGATGTTTTCCCATACGTTTACCACCATTTCCAGTTTGAACTCGATGGTGATTCTGTCTGTGAGATTTTCAATGAAGTTTCACTTTGAGTAGGTGTAAATGTTGTATTATGATATCCATTTTTATAATGATAGATTCAGCTACGAGGCAGCTACAGTGTATTGAAGAACCACACTTGTGAAATCAGACTTAGGATGTTGTTCTAACTGTCAACAACCGGTTGCCCAATTGCGTAAATCGATGCCCACATTGTTGATCACGGGATTGTCTGGTCCAGACTCGATTATTTACTGACCGTCGTCATTTAGCAGGAATATTGCTGAGTAAGGAGTTAATAAACAAATAAACAAAACAACAATGTCAACTGAATGGTTCTGTTACTGTCAGTGTGCGAAATAGCTTCCAAATTTTGCTAGCCAACCGGGCTAGCTATGCCTGAAAATTACAAGCCCATAAAATAATTCACTAGCCCGAAGTTTGAATGTAGAAACTAAGCAAAACATTCCAAAAATGTATGAGAATTAAAAAGAATTTATTTGAAAATATTTTATTCAGTGTTGAAATGGATTGGGCACAAGTTTTGTAACTTATTACCGCCCGCTCCCATCAGAAACGTGAACAATAATGAATGGACTTAATGAATGGACATAATAACATTAAGACATATTATTGATTAATCGAAGCGCTTACTTCGTACAATGTATTTATGTACATGTCTAAAGATATTTTCATTAATATTATTTGGCAGAGCAGGGTTGCCGTAAATAATGGTACCAATGTCTAAGTGAACTTTTGATAGTTCAAAGTCTTGCTTCAGATCAAAACGGCAACTGACAAATTTTGGACATTTTAAAAAGAAATGGTTAGCATCTTCCACCGGAGCACCACAATTGCAAGCCCTACTCTCTGATAGATTAACACGAAACAGATTTGCATGTAATGAACTACACGAATGTCTTAACTTCGTGTGTAGTATATTTGTCTTTCTTTCACCAAATAGAAAATATTTTGGAACCTTGTCATTTTTTTCAGGTTACTTTGATATAAACGATGATAAAGAATTTGTACATTTTGTTGTAGAGGAGAGAGCATTCCATAAACTTGCAGAATCATAATTAAATGACTTTTGGAGAAATTTAGGAACAGCCAAATCTGATTTGTTACACAAGTTGTATCCGGAAATGGTTTCAGTAAAAGGTGGAAGTAAATCTATCAGGTAATCAGGAGCTTGCATATTAACAATTTTGTAGAATGTACAGAGTTTCCTTTGTGTTCGTCTAACATTCAATGGTAACCAACCAGTTTCACTGTATAAACCATACCTTGAAGCGAATTTAGGCAATCCGGTTACAATTCTTGCTGGGGCAATTATCCCAGACCTCAGATGCATATTCTAAAATAGGCCTAATATACATTTCGTACATACTAGAAAGGATATATCTAGGTAATACGTACTTCAGCGTCCGTAATGAGGAAACATTTTTTCAGGCCTTTTCTATTACAGCAGATACATGATGAGACCATTTTGTATTATCTGAAAAGATGACACCGAGGTGTTTATGTTGATGTACACTTTCAAATGTTCATTATTGAAAATCAAGTCAGGAACTTGTGGACAGTTTCCATTTTTAAAATGCCATGAATTTGGTCTTGTTCGGGTTAAACTTAACTAACCATTTCAGTTTTGCTAAATCATAGTTAAGAGTACCTTCTATGGTTTTTACATCTTTTCCTGCAACACCAATGGAAGTGTCGTCGGCAAACAGTCTTGTGACATTTGTTAGAGTTTCAGGTAAATCATCGATGTACACAAGGAACAAAAATGGACCAAGGACAGATCCTTGAGGAACCCCTAGGTGCAGTAACATTTAATTCTTTTGATAATGTACCATTGATGGAAACACTCTGTCGTCTATTTGATAAATAGTTTGTTAACCAACTAAGTAAAAGGCCACGGATGCCATAATTTTCTAATTTGTGCAATAGACCTTTATGCCACACCCTGTCAAAGGCCTTTGATATGTCACAAAAAATCATACAATAAAGGTAATAAGTATCTAGAGCTGAACATATATTGTGATAGATTTCAATGAGTTGAGATGTGGTAGAGTGGTTTGTAGTTAAACCTGATTGAAATTTACTTAAAATGCTATGTTTATTGAAATGGTTATGTAAATGCTTTAACATTATTTTTCAAAATAATTCCCGAGGATAGATAATTAGTAAGGATGGATTTATCTCTCTTTTTTGAAAATAGGGGTAATATTGCCTGTTTTCTAAACTGAAGGAAAAGCACACTGACTCAAAGAAATATTATACAGTAAACATAGAGGTTCAGATATTGATGTACAAAGTCGTTTTAACATTCTCATGTTAATACCATCAGGTCCACTAGCTTTGTTTGCTGGTAAAGTCTTAATCATATCCGATACTTCCTTTTCAGTAACACTAACGCTTGTAATGCTGTTAGGACAGCGATGGCTAACAGGTGGCAAAGTCTTGCCCTCACCATTGATATTGGAAACAGATACAAAATATTTATTCAATGTTTGGGCTTTGTCAATGTCTGTAAATGCTAAAGGTATTCCGGAATCATCAGTTACGAGAGGGGGAATGGGTCCCGATGAAGTAGAACCTTTCAAAAAATAATTAAAAACCTTCCAGTAATCTGCATGCTGATTGAGTAGTGAGAAGATAAAAAACTACCTAAATTCGAATAAAAAATTTCCTTTGCTAACTTTTTAAGATTGTTTGTTTTATTCCTCTGCTTTTTTATTTTAGATACATCAGAAGTATTCAGTGTTCGAAATGCTCTCTTCCTTAAACGGTCTCTTTTTCTAATTTCTCTCCGAAGTTCACTGTCAAACCAAGGTTTGTCTTTAGGTCTGACTGTAATGGTCTGGGTTGGGATACATCTAACCATATATTCCTTAAGCAGAGAAGTAAATATTACACAAGCGTCGTTAACATTTGGAGTTTTAGAAAAAATACTCTCCCAATTAGTTTCCCTAATCAGATTATTTAAAGTATCATAATTACCGTTGTTATATAACCAAATTTGCTTTTTGTATGCACTGTTGACATTTACAAAGCTTGAAAGATAGACAAGGTTCCCTTGTGATCACTAATATCTTATGTGAATTCAACGACCTCTGCGTCTTTGTATGAACAATCCTCAGATAAAATAATGGAATCAACCAAGGAGGATGAGACGGGCGTTACTCTTGTTGGTTCAGTAATAACATTTTGTAGGTTGTAGTGAATAATCAGGTCACGTACGTTGTGAGAATGAGAACATAAAGATCTTGATTATAATCTCCCAGCAAAGCCAGGTGTTTTGATATATCAAGAGAAGAACTAATTGAATTATCCAGTGAATTCCAAAAACATGACCCAGTGTTAGGTGGACGATATGACACACATAACATTAAACATTTATAAGGCAAAAATATCTGGAACCACATCATTTCAAACATAGGTGTTTCTAAATCCTGTCTTCTTTTAACATGTAATAAATCAGTAAAATATACTATTATACCTCAACCAAAACAATTTCTATCCCTTCTGAAAGGGGGTTGATAGTGGTCAATGAGTAGCTCTTTAGTCTGGATTTTACTATCTAAATGTGACTCAGTAAAACACAAGATATCAAAGTCAGATATATCATGACAGCATGACACGAATTCCACCATTAAGCTGCTAATATGATGAACACTTTATCAGGCCATAATCTGGCATGATTTAAAAATGTATAACAAGTTAAGTCGGAGAGAGTTATATATTTTTAAAATGACCCCATGAAAATTCACTATCCAGCCGGGCCACTGACCGTGAAGATTTACTGGCCCGACTGGATTTTTACCAGCCATGGGCTAGCGGGCCAGTGTCTATTTCGGACACTGGTTACTGTCGTACGTTCCCTTAAAGGGGAGGTCTGGTAAGCATCCGGCCACGACAAGACATGATTACCATGCCTGCTGTTCACAAAGTCCATTTTAATATGGGCGTCATCCGGCTGCGGCGGGACGTTACGTTCCAAACAATACCTTCAACACTGACACTTGGTCAACGTACGTATTAATCATGACAAGTATCTAGAGTTATGGGAGTACTTGTCCGGCCTAGTGTGAGCTGGACCCATAGCACATGTATATTACAGATTGTTTCGATGACTTGAAAGAAGTATATTGTGAAAAGTAGGAGACGTAAACCCTAATTCATAAATATCAGATTAGTGTCAAACATAATCTGTGACATGGTGGTTGGTTTGTTGTTTAAAGCCGCACTCAGCAATATTCCAGCTATATGGCGACGGTCTGTAAATATTCGAGTTTGCACCAGACAATCCAATGATCAACATCATGAACATCGATCTACGTAATTGGGATACGATGACATGTGTCAACCAAGTCAGCGAGCCTGACCATCCGATCCCGTTAGTCGCCTCTTGTACGACAAGCATGGGTTACTGAAGATCAATTCCAACCGGATCTTCACTGGTCTATGACATGTACACATATCGGTGTATTATTCTTATTATTAAGTCAACACTACAAAACATGCAGTTTGTTTACTATGGGTTGTGTTACAGAGTAAACAGTGGTTTACGTCGTTGTCACTCTAACGGCTATAACTGACTGAGTTTAGTTTGACGCCGCTTTTAGCAATATTCCAGCAACATCACGGCGGGGGACACCAGAAATGGGCTTCACGCATTGTACCCATGTGGGGATTCGAACCCGGGTCTTTGGCGTGACGAGCCAACGCTTTAACCACTAGGCTACCCCACCGCCCCCTAACGACTATAAAAGGTCTCAGCCGGCGTGCCATAGCATGTTCACCTATTGTGTTAGCTGTACAATTATATGAACTTCGAACTGCCTGTACACACCACTATCAACATGTGCCCGGAAACTGCAACTTTAAACAAGCACATCAAGGACACTCGTACGCGTGAAGAGTGAGTGAGTGAGTTTAGTTTTACGCCGCACTCAGCAATATTCCAGCTACATGGCGGCGGTCTGTAAATAATCGAGTCTGGGCCAGAAAATCCAGTGATAAACAGCATGAGCATCGATCTGCGCATTTTGGAACCGTTGACATGTGTCAACCAAGTCAGCGAGCCTGACCACCCGATCCTATTAGCCTCCTCTTACGACAAGCATGGGTTACTGATGATCAATATTCTAACCCGGGCGTTCACGGGTAGACCCGTGAAGAATGGGGTGGAAAATTCCTTACATTTATCCATCACGTTTGTTGTTTAACGCCGCACTCCAGCTATATGACGACGATCTGTAAATAATCGTGTCTGGACCAGACAACCCAGTGATCAACAGAATGAGCTTCGATCAAGGCAATTGGGATACCATGATATGTGTCAACCAAGTCAGCGAGCCTGACCAAACGATCCCGTCAGTAGCCTCTTACGATAAGCATGGGTTACTTAAGACCAATTCTAATACGGATTTTCAGATCAGCCTTAAAGGAGAAAAAAAAGGGTCATATTTTACATTATTGGATCATTACAGATAGCAAACAAAATGTACGTTTGGAATAATGGGAAATACTGAGAATATATTGGCGTATTCTGCTTAGGTTGGTGACTAAAAAGTCAAATATCATTTGGTTTCCGGCTTTCTGTAGCCTAAATTGACTTGTTCCAGTTGAGTCTATAACAATATCCAATACCACCACAGTGTTTATTTGTACGTTTGGAATAATGGGAAATACTGAGAATATATTGGCGTATTCTGCTTAGGTTGGTGACTAAAAAGTCAAATATCATTTGGTTTCCGGCTTTCCGTAGCCTAAATTGACTTGTTCCAGTTGAGTCTATAACAATGTCCAATACCACCACAGTGTTTATTTTGTTTGTTTAACGCCCCACTCAGCAATATTCAAGCTACATCCGGAGGTCTGTAAATAATCAAGTCTGGACCAGACAATCCAATGACTGACACCATGAGCATCGATCTACACAATTGGGATACGAAGACATGCATCAACCAAGTCAGAGAGTCTGATAACCCGAACCAGGGCCCTTATTCTCGAAACGATCGTAGCCATAAGAATTCTAACTTTGATCGTAGCCAATGTGTTAAGAATTAAACACAGGGCTACGAATGTTTCGAGAATAGCTGGCCAGTTATAGTATAACCCGGATCTTCCCAGTGTGAAAGGGCGTGAGGTGATATGAAAATAGTCCCGGACTATTGAACTTACATAGCTTGTTCTAGTCCGGACTTGTGCCGGTTTAATAAGATAAGATAACAATATAGTTTATGATTGTGTCACAAGGCATAGCGTAATCATTTACAGATCCTAATACACAGGTGTATAAATTGGAAATTCTAATATAGACTTAGGTTTTCTGGCCAAATGCTCATGAGACAGACATTTAAAAGCAAGTAGTTGTAGTAGTAGTAGCAGTAGTAGCTGTAGTAGTAGTAGTAGTAGTAGTAGTAGTAGTAGCAGCAGCAGCAGCAGCAGTAGCAGCAGTAGAAGTAGTAGTAGTAGTAGTAGTAGTAGTAGTAGCTAGTAGTAGTAGTAGTAGCAGCAGCAGCAGCAGTAGCAGTAGCAGCAGCAGTAGTAGTAGTAGTAGTAGTAGTAGTAGTAGTAGTAGTAGTAGTAGTAGTAGTAGTAGGAGTAGTAGTAATAGTAGTAGTAGTAGTAGTAGTAACATATATTTCATACATTAAAAGCAATGGAGATGCTATCGAACACAACGATGCAAATGCAGGTTGTCCTATGAAGCCGTGGTTGTAGTAATATTTAATATAAGTGTGGATAGTTATTGGTGAGATATTCCAGATATCGCATCACAGTTTAACATGGATTCTGCACTTCGACATGTGAATTCCAAGCCGACCAGTCACCAATGAGTGATTCGTACATAAATGCTTCTGCTGTATGAGTTGCCTCCCTTCCCTAACCTTTGTCCACTTCCGGGATGTTGCACATGATCAATCACCACAGTGTCGCTACAAACACAAAGTGACAGATACCTGCCGAAACCCGGAGAGACAATGACTAATCACTAGAAAGGTAGGATATATACCAATAACATATGCTGCTGAAATAATCCGATAGTAAACTTCGACAGTCTTTCGGTGACTAATTTCCACTTTGTTTACATCCGTCAGCTGTTGTCTGGTGTTGAACTTTCTCGAGTTCTCTACTACTCGTATAAAAGTACTATTGGCGAGTATCAAATGACACACACAATACACTTGTTTATAAATGAACGATACTGTTTCCTCTAACTTAGTCTAAGTTTTGAGACTGATGGTGGTCAGATATACAATATTTATCTTTGTTCTCTTTGAACAAATGTATGTTTGAAATAATTTAATATTACGAACGAAAATATTATCTGGATAATTTTTACATTGTTGTATGAATTTCAGTGTCATTAGGCAAAACGGGGTGCATTCTATAACACAGGTATGATTATAATTACTGTCAACTAGCAGATGGTACTTGTTGCTGTATAAGATTTTGTGTGAATTTTCAGGGGATTGACAGTTAGAATATCACCGAACACAGCTCTATTTCACTTTTGCAACAGAGGATTTTGACAAGCCGTGGTTATTTTGCTCATAACGTCAAAAACCCGGTTTTGACTCCCCACATGGGTGAGGTGAGGTGAAATTGGGTTTCATGCATGTGTATGTGTATGTGCGGCTGTTTGTACTAGCCCAGACTTAAGCTGGTTTTATAGTGCTAGCCCACTGAGATACCATGCCGCAGTGAAGCATAAATACCCCACTCAGACACATTATACTAACTCCGAGCCAACCAGTCCTTGTTGTACCCATTAATGCTGAGTGCCAGACAGGGACCAACAAGTACCATATTTTAACGTCCTTTGTTATGTGAAGAGAGATCGGTCGGGATCGAACTCAGCGACCTTCCGCTCGAAACAATGCCTCCGGGCCGACGCTCTAACCACTACACCACCATGGGTACAATGTGTGAAGCCCATTTCTGGTGTCCCCCATCGTGATATTGCTGGAATATTGCTAAAAGCGGTGAAAAACTAAATTCACTCAGTCACTGTTGTGGATGGTAAATGATGTACGTTTCAGACATGTTCAACTTTGGTGAAACCCAAGTTTGGGATGTGCTGATGAAAACCTGATGATCATAAACTGGGAATGGAACTCATCAGTATGCCCTTCCACATATGCTGGGATCAGAGGTGCCAAACACTCTGAGTTTGATGGAGTTACTCTGATTTTCAAATACAATATCCGCTCTCTGATTTGTCTTAAAAAATTCTGATATCTTTTTTTGTGGTATACAATTTCGTAAGTCACCTGAGTTTGGTGATTTGTTTGGGTAAACAAATTCTGACGCGTAAGGTAAAAGCATTTGGAAGCTTAGCGTGAGATCTTTTGGGTCTTGATTGTGTATATTGCTTGTTATTGACTATGAAGTTTCACAAAGTTTTTCCTATAGCATGTCCATATGTAAGTGCTCATGACTCCACTTTCATTAGATTCACTGTTAGCATCCCTGTGGGAATAGTTTAACCGTAAGCCATCACACTGAGATGTATCCCTGCGACCGACTGACTTTTACATCAAGGATGAGAGTTGAGATTCTGGGTACCCATTTAAATCCAGAATTCTCTTTCTGATTTTCAGATCTTTCACATTGTTACTTCTGTGTCTGTCAATAGCTGACACACCCTCACATTACTTTATCTGTCTAAGCCAGTGAGCATCAGTTTGAGGCTTCAGTAAATTTTCTGTACAGGGAAAAGCTTAATTTGGAGCAGCATATCTGGATTGTGTGTCTCAAGACAGAGGGAGTTATTACTTTGGATAAAAAGCTCTCATTTTCATGAGGGGCGGTGGGGTAGCCTCGTGGTTAAAGTGTTGGCTCGTCACGCCGAAGACCCGGGTTCCAATCCCCACATGGGTACAATGTGTGAAGCCCATATCTGGTGTCCCCCGCTGTGATGTTGCTGGAATATTGCTAAAAGCGGCGTAAAACCAAACTCAGTCAGTCAGTCATTTTCATGAGATTGTCATGGAAAACAAAAATGATTGTGTCTACATAAAATCTGACTCGTTAACTCTCACTTTATATATTTTGATGATCATTTCCATCACAATGTAGGTACGCTCTCAAACATGACCTAGGCAAGGTCACAGTAGAGCCTCCAAGATGGCTGACCCACAGGAAGTAGCATTTGAGCCGGAGTTTGAGTCAGCTGAGGAGGAACTGCTGCATCATGCTCGTCATGGAACTGCAGCTCGTGTTCTTCAGCTGGTGGTACCAGATACAGGCGACAAGGGCGTCAGAGACATCAACTGCAAAGGTAGATCATAGATCATCAACTTGGTATTAATATCAGCTGTTAGAAAATGACATTTTATGTGGGGCTCAGTGGATGTAATTAGCAAGTAAGTGAGGTGAGCAAAAATATATCATTCCAAAGTATTAAGGCCAAACTGTGAACTTTGGAAGCAATGGAAATGGACTTTCGCTTCATTGATGCTCATATAAAACATTTGAATAAAATAACTTTTACCATATCAACATGTAGGTGCTAAATTATAACTCTTTTAATGTTTCTTTATATTTTATGAGCATGAGCATCTTATCCAAGCAAAAACCAGTGCCTAGATTTTCGAAGCTCTTAAGCGGATGTTAAGATAGTCGCGGAAGTTAATGTTAGTGTATGGCAAACTAAGACTATCTTAGCGCTATTTTAGAGCTTTGAAAATTTACGTCCAGGATATAGAAAACTATGGTTATAACGAACACAAAGCACCACTACCTCAGTAGTTCATTACATGCTTTTGACTACAACATACAGCAGGTGACCCAAATAACATTTCATTACAACTGTCAGTATCAATGTGTCTGTTGTAAACATTGTTTATTGTTGGCCCATGCAATCAACAGGGTGTTTTATTACCTGGACCTATATTGTCAAAGTAATGAGGTTTTTTTATAATTGAGTGTATTCAAACCTATCTGAAGCTCAATACCCTTGATTATGTTTATTTCAGTTTGTAGCCTCTATATAACTAGAACAATCTTGGATTATTTGACACAGTTGCTGATCCCAGCCCTGTTCCTATTCCATGGCATTATTTCTGAATCATTATAGTAGAAATAGAAGATATCTAGACTCACTGTCTGGGTACCTGAGTCAGCAACATGGTGCTAATTGTTGTATATATTATTGTTATTCCCATATGTTAAACAATACTGTTATTTGTTATTATTCTCATAAAGGAATTCATAATGATAGCGGCGTAAACTAAACTCACTCACTCATAATGATAAATTTGTTATATCTGTGACTTTCCCTTCAGTTGAGTAAATAGAATTTTTGAGTTGACAGTTCATGTGCATCCTTTGATCTTTCATGTGTTTGTATGAGCCCACTCAGTGTATAAAACTCCACACAACCCGAACACATGACACATTTTTATGGATAACAACTTCTTTTTATTCTTTATGCGACGTTTCAGAGCTACTTCTTGCTCCTTCATCGGGTGAATGCTGAGTCACGAAGCCAATTAGATAGGATTAATGTACAAAGATAACAATATATTGTTATAACATGTCACTCACACTACTCTACCCTTCTGACAGGTAAAAAGAAGTTCAATGGAGACGCACAGCACACGTGGATGGACCCCTCTACACTTGGCTTCATACTTTGGACATTATGACACAGTGAAGATACTTTTAGAGGTAACAAGCAACTGGAGTCCTGATAGTTTAGATATGGCATCTACTGTCATAATAATGTTTGTAAGGTTTTGACATTTGATGAAAGTACTGCAAATGTTTTCTTGTTTTGGGCTGAGCGTTACCTGTGCATGATTAATTTCAGTTCCCACAATACAATTATAACATAGAATAGGGAAATAGAAGTCTGTTTAATAATGTCTCAATTTTCAACATCTTTTACTTAGGATTGTTAACTATTAATTCCAGAATGGAGCTGATCTGAATATTGTGAACACAGTCGGAGACACACCACTACATCAGGCTGCACACACAGCAAGGGAGGTAGGTGGTGGTAAGAGGGGTAGAGACACACCACTACAGGGGATAGGAGGTGAGATGGGGATAGAAGGTGGGGTGGGATAGGAGGTGAGATGGGGATAGTAGGTGGGGTGGGGACAGGAGGTGAGATGGGGATTGAAGGTGAGATGGGGACAGGAGGTGAGATGGGGATTGAAGGTGAGATGGGGATAGAAGGTGAGATGGGGATAGAAGGTGGGGTGGGATAGGAGGTGAGATGGGGATAGAAGGTGGTGGGATAGGAGGTGAGATGGGGATAGAAGGTGGGGTGGGATAGGAGGTGAGATGGGGATAGGAGGTGGATGGGATAGGAGGTGAGATGGGGATAGAAGGTGAGATGGGGATAGAAGGAAGTGGGGTGGGGATAGAAGGTGGGGTGGGATAGGAGGTGAGATGGGGGGGTGAGGTGGGGTGGGATAGGAGGTGGGGACAGGATGGGAGGTGGAGAGGGGAGGGATAGGAGGTGAGACAGAAGGTGGGGTGGGATAGAGGTGAGGTGAGAAAGGAGGGTGGGGTGGGGACAGGAGGTGAGATGGGGATAGAAGGTGGGTGGGGACAGGAGGTGAGATGGATAGAGGGAGGTGAAAGGGGGTAGGAGGTGGGGTGGGGACAGGAGGTGAGATGGGGGATAGGGGACAGGTGAGATGGGGATAGAAGAGGTGAGAAGGTAGGAGGTGGGGGTGGGGACAGAGGTGAGATGGGGATAGAAGGTGGGGTGGGGACAGGGAGGTGAGATGGGGATAGGAGGTGGGGATAGAGATGGGATGGGGATAGAGGTGGGATGGGGACAGGAGGTGAGAGATGGGGGATAGAAGGTGGGGTGGGGACAGGAGGTGAGATGGGGATAGAAAGGTGAGAAGGGGTGGGGGGTGGGGACAGGAGGTGAGATGGGGATAGAAGGTGGGGTGGGGACAGGAGGGAAAGGGTGGAGAATTTGGAGGAGGGATGGGTATAGGAGGTGGGATAGGTGGGGATAGAAGGTGATAGGGACAGGGATGGGATAGGAGGTGGGGATGATGGGATAGGAGGTGAGATGGGGATTGGGGAAAGGCGGGATGGGACAGAAGGTGATATCTGGATGGGGATAGAAGTGGGATGGGGTGGGACAGGAGGTGAGATGGGGATAGAAGGTGGGGTGGAGATAAGAGGTGAGATGGGGATAGAAAGTGAGGTGGAGATAGGAGGTGAGATGGGGATTGAAGGCGGGATGGGACAGAAGGTGATATCTGGATGGGATAGAATTTGGGGTGGGACAGGAGGTGAGATGGGGATAGAAGGTGGGGTGGAGATAAGAGGTGAGATGGGGATAGAAAGTGAGGTGGAGATAGGAGGTGAGAAAGGGATGGGAAGGGGGAGGGATGTGGTGAGATGAGGATGGTTACAGGAGGTGAGATAGGGATTGGCAACAGGAGAGTTGGGACAAATACAATGATGACTATTGATAATTTAGAAATCTAACATTAATGAACAATGTTTTCATTTAAAAATCTAGTTTGAAATCTCATTTAAAATACAGTATTCATGTAATTGATCCTACCAATAAGTTACTGTTTGTAAAGTTTGGTTCTGTTTAGTGTATTAAATGTATTATGGTGTCTGTGTGTAATACAGCATAAATCTGGTTGAGGAGGTTTATCAGTGTATATCATAACATCAAATGGTAATATTTCATTTCTGTGGCTTATTTGATTGAGACTGGATATTGAACTTGAGAGAAACCAGAGTTGTTACCAGTAAAACTGTTTTGCAGCAAGTTCTCACAGTCCTGCTGGAGTATGGAGCTGATGTGATGGCAGTGAACTCAGAGGGGCATCAGCCCAAACACCTGGCCCGCAACCCCAATGTGAAAAGGCTCATAGAGGGTAGGTACAGGAAGCCCAAAGTAAGAAAGATCATAGCGGGTAGGTACAGGAAGCCCAAAGTAAGAAAGATCATAGAGGGTAGGTACTGGAAGCCCAAAGTAAGAAAGATCATAGAGGGTAGGTACTGGAAGCCCAAAGTAAGAAAGATCATAGAGGGTAGGTACTGGAAGCCCAAAGTAAGAAAGTTCATAGCGGGTAGGTACAGGAAGCCCAAAGTAAGAAAGATCATAGAGGGTAGGTACAGGAAGCCCAAAGTAAGAAAGATCATAGAGGGTAAGTACTGGAAGCCCAAAGTAAGAAGTTCCCAAAGTACAGGAAGCCCAAAGTAAGAAAGATCATAGAGGGTAGGTACAGGAAGCCCAAAGTAAGAAAGATCATAGAGGGTAGGTACTGGAAGCCCAAAGTAAGAAAGATCATAGAGGGTAGGTACTGGAAGCCCAAAGTAAGAAAGATCATAGAGGGTAAGTACTGGAAGCCCAAAGTAAGAAAGTTCATAGCGGGTAAGTACAGGAAGCCCAAAGTAAGAAAGATCATAGAGGGTAGGTACAGGAAGCCCATCAGAGGGTAGGTACTGGAAGCCCAAAGTAAGAACGTTCATAGCGGGTAGGTACAGGAAGCCCAAAGTAAGAAAGTTCATAGCGGGTAGGTACTGGAAGCCCAAAGTAAGAACGTTCATAGCAGGTAAGTACAGGAAGCCAAAAATAAGAAGGTTCATAGCGGGAAAGTACAGGAAGCCCAAAGTAAGAAAGATCATAGCGGGTAAGTACAGGCAGCTCGATGTGGGGCAGGTTATAGATGGTGCATACACTAATCCCACTTTGGAATGGCTACTAGAAGGTACATGCGGGAAGCCCAGTATGGATTAGCTCATTGAGGGTAGTTACAGGAAGCCTACTCTGGAATGGCTACTAGAAGGTACATGCAGGAAGCCCAATGTGGATTAGCTCGTTGAGGGTAGGTACAGGAATCCTACTTTGGAATGGTAACTAGAAGGTACATGCAGGAAGCCCAATGTGGATTAGCTCATTGAGGGTGGTTACAGGAATCCTACTTTGGAATGGCTACTAGAAGGTACATGCAGGAGGTACAAGGTTCAGTGGTGCAGCTGTGGCCCCTATCCCACACTTTGGAATAAATGCGCTTTGGCACAGGTGGCTAATTATAATTTACTGGAATCAGTGTGTGTACCATCATGTTGTAGTCTTCCTGGTGGTTGACGTTACAATTTTGAGATATATTCAGGTGAAGAGTTTTCTCTTTGTGGTAGCAATACTGAAGATGAGATGCCAGTTGTACACTCTCAAAACTGGCTATATGTATATAATTTATACCTACTACATATACTTGTAATATGTCCTGTATCAGCTTCGACACAAACCAAACAGTGCTAGCATGTCTAGCAAAGTTCATTCTAAACCCCAAACAATTGTAATTATGTTGTAGACTTCGATGCAAGTGACACTAGCTGACCCCAGACAGACAAACTGGGATGATTCCTTGAGTGTAGTTTATTGTGTGGAATGTTTACGGTCATGTTCCACCATGTTATATTTAACATTGTCATAACTTGTACCATCTAACTGCTAGTGAATTCTTGTAGATTTGTGAGCCAGGAAATGACAGTATTTATTCAGATTTGACTAAATGATAGAGTTATCTCCCTTCAGCTGCAGAGGTTCATGAAAGCAGACGTCACGAGGATGAGTTCCTCCAGGCAGCTGCGATGGGGAACATGGACGGTGTCTCAGACAAGGTAGGGGCTTTATAAGACAGTTAACCACCTTTGTGGTCTTGTGGGTAGAGTAGTTGCCCCGAGAGTGAACCATTGTGGTTCAATACCCAGGTCATGTAATAACAAAATATGGTAGCTTTGTGTTCCTGCCTCGTAGGTGGCATAATTGAGATAAAACAAAAACTGGTTATCTCAGTCAGGGTCTATATACTGTGTCTGAAGCACATATCCCTAGCACTACAAAACGTATCCTTTGTCCTCACTAGTACGACCCATGAAGATCCATGAAGACAGAATTGACCCAATTCTCTTCCCACAAAGGTTACTTGTCATATCTTCCTACGAACCTCTGTTCTAATACGGCCATATTTCCCAGTTCTCGTAAAATCCCCTATCGGCAAAAAATCGCAACACGAATTATCTCCCTTCTTTCTATCCAATCAGAACACGTTTTACATCGACTTAGATCCAACTTGACTAATGCAAGCAAATATTTGGCCACAAATATCCCTCCTCTGCCAGGGACTTGTGTTGATGTGACACATAAGACATTTAATGTTTAGCTTGTCCGTTGTTAGCGAGGCGGTGGAGACGCCATTGATCTGTTGAGTTCTGTCTAGAAGAAATGTTTGAGCATCGTTTCTAGTTCTCGGAGGTGAGGAGTTTCTAGTTTTCCTGAAGCATACGGAAATTACCGAGGCCTTGCGAATGAACACTTTTGGAACAACTTCGCTGATTGCACAACTAAATCTGATTGCAACTAATCACGAATCCTGAACACTTGCACCATGAAAGGGCCGTGTTAGAACAGAGGTTCGTAGGAACAAGTAACCTCTGTGGGAAGAGAATGAATTGACCCATGTTTGTCGTAAGAGGCGACAGACGGGATCAGGAGGCTCACTGACTTGGTTGACACATGTCATTGTATCTCAATTGTGTAGATTCTGCTCATGCTGTTGATCACTCTATTATCTGGTCCAGGCTCAATTATTTACAGACTGCCGCCATATAGCTAGAATATTGCTGAGTGCAGCGTTAAACAACAAACCAACCAACCAACCCGGCTAATACAAGTAGCCCTTGGTAGCAATGTGCACTTTGTCTTTGTCAAACATCATTTTGCCTCACCTCACCTAAACATACATTAACTGTTACTTAAGCTGATGTATGCCTTGAACACTAGACCTCTGTCATGCCCTGAAATGTGATGATATCATACTGTCATGGATGATATCATATGTTTCCATGACAACTGAAACCCTAGGTTAGCTAGAATGTAGAGGCAAATCAACTATCTCTGAAATAATATTGCATCAGAATTCTTGACTGACCATTATAATATCACAATCAAATAACATCACTAATCTTTCTGAAAGTGGTTAAATGTAATATTTACACTCAAAATACTGGTTACTACAGTTTGCAGACTTAAAGCTTGGAAGAATGATTTTGGATGGTATCTGACTTTGATGTCTTCCAAACTCAACTCGTTGGTAACAGTTAAAAACTTCTCACCAAAGTTTGGATATTTGTAGCTAATCATGATTTATTTCATTCGGAAGACACCCTGGTGAGATTATTTATGTCTCTGTGTTTGCAGTTACAGAAGAGCCATGTGAACATCAACTGTACAGACAGGTTCGGCAACACGGCACTGCATGTACAGCTCTGCATGAGTAAGTACAAAAATGATGGTAAAGAGCTTTAAGAAGGGTATAGTTTATGTACAAAAATGATGATCTTTAAGAAGGGGTATAGTTTTATGCTACAAAATGAGTAACAAAATGGTACAAAAATTAACTTTAAGAAGAGTATAGCTGTATGTGGTAACAAGAAATGGTATAGCTTTTACAAAAATGGTAAGAGTATAGTTTTATGTACAAAAATGCTGTGTGCTTTAAGAGGGGTATAGCTTTATGTACAAAAATGGTGAAGCTTTAAGAAGAGAAAGAGTACAAAATAGCTGTATGTACACACACCAAGAAAAATGGTAAGCTTTGAGAAAGAGTATAGTTTTATGTACAAAAATGGTGTTTTTGAGCTTTAAGAAGGGCTTTAAAGTTTTATGTACAAAATGGTGAGCTTTAAGAAGAGAGGGTATAGTTTATGTACAAAATGGTAAGCTTTAAGAAGGAGTATAGTTTTATGCACAAAAATGCTTACAAGAAGGAGTAAGCTTTAATAGAATGAGAAACTTTTATAGTTTATGTACAAAAATGATGATCTTTAAGAAGGGGTATAGTTTTATGTACAAAAATGGTGTGCTTTAAGAAGGGGTATAGCTGTATGTACAAAAATGGTAAGCTTTGAGAAAGAGTATAGTTTTATGTACAAAAATGCTGTGTTTTAAGAAGGGGTATAGCTGTATGTACAAAAATGGTAAGCTTTGAGAAAGAGTATAGCTGTATGTACAAAAATGGTAAGCTTTGAGAAAGAGTATAGTTTTATGTACAAAAATGGTGAGCTTTAAGAAGGGGTATAGTTTTATGTACAAAAATGGTGAGCTTTAAGAGGGATTATAGTTTTATGTACAACAAAAATGATCTTTAAGTATAGTTTTAACTTATGGTACAAAAATGAGTAAGCTTTTAAAATGAGCTTTAAGAAGGGGTATAAGCTGTATAGTTTTATGTACAAAAATGGTGAGCTTTAAGAAGGGGTATAGTTTATGTACAAAATGGTGAGGAAAACACAGAAGGGGTATAGTTTTTTGTACAAAAATAGTAAGAATGGTATAGTTTATGTACAAAAATGATGATCTTTAAGAAGAATAATACAAAAATTGGTGGCTTTATAGTTTATGTATGTACAAAAATGGTAAAGCTTTAAGAAGGAAGTTTTATGGCTGATTTTATGTACTGTATGTACAAAAATGGTAAAGCTTTAAGGAAGAGTATAGTTTATGTAAGAAACTTTAAGAAAAAAATGGTGTGCTTTACAAAAATGAGGTAAAGGAGTATAGTTTTATGTACAAAAATGGTAAGCTTTAAGAAGGAGTATAGTTTTATGTACAAAAATGGTAAGCTTTGAGAAGAGTATAGTTTTATGTACAAAAATGGTAAGCTTTGAGAAAGAGTATAGTTTTATGTACAAAAATGGTAAGCTTTGAGAAAGAGTGTAGTTTTATGTACAAAAATGGTAAGCTTTAAGAAATGGCGTAGCTTCAAGAACAATCCTGGCGAGCTTTAAGAAGGGGTGTAGCTTCTAGAGCAATAATGGTAAACTTTAGCAAAGGGAGTAGCTTCACGACAATACTGGTGAGCTTAGAAAAGGGTGTAGTGAGTATGGAACAATAGTGAGCATTCAGTAGGGGCCAGCCGGAAGTGAGTCCACATTATGTTTAGCCCCACAAAATGTAAATGAATTCTATCGTTTCAAACAAGCATTTCACTGTCAATTTGGTATTATTAAATTTTGTGTATTTGTTTTGTCTATAATATATGTAAAGCCACAAAGATTCAAAGACTTTTGTTGACTGTGTTGACAGATCAACTGGCAGCAGACATGGCGAGGACACAGCCCATGAGGCAGCTGCTGGGGGTGCGGGGGGTCAAGGCGTTACAGCTGCAGCCGCAGAGGTTCGAGGGACAGCTGCGGAAGGTTAGTTGGGGTAACTCAGGCGAGGTGGCTGCAAGGCTAATGTTACATTTCTGACCTCTATGTTGTATGGTTTTCAGGAAGAAGGGCTAGTCTTGTGGTCAAACATTTGCTCTTTGCATCAAAGACCAGGTTCAGTTCATTCTCTCAAAGAAGTGACCCCAATAAGGTGGCCTAGCTTTGGTTGTTGGTGGTCCATAGCCTGTGTTTTAATGTTAATATATTTCATATCAAGTTGCATTTTTAGAATTGGAAATGATTAGTTTTTAGACTTGCATTCTATGATACGTTGCTAATGTTTTACTGCCCTTCGTGACAGATATTTATCATATATACTAAATTTGGTCTCGTAACTATATGGCTGAAATATTGCCGGTGTGATGTTAAATTTTAACTCACTCACTCGCTCAAACAAGTGGGTATTACTATTTGTCTGATGGGATTTTATCTAGGTGGTTATTATAGAGGTTATTAGGTGAGGTGAAATTGGGTTTAATGTCGTGCTTGAGAATATTTTGCTCATATGACGACGTGCATGCGTATGTATCTGTATGTGCGGCTGCTTGTACTAGCCCAGACTGAAGCTGGTTTTATAGTGCTAGCCCACTGAGATACCATGTCGCAGTGAAGCATGAATACCCCACTCAGACACATTACACTGACTCCGAGCCGACCAGTCCTTGTTGTACCCATTAATGCCGAGCGCCAGGCAGGGACCAACAAGTGCCATATTTTAACGTCTTTTGGTATGACGCGGTCGGAGATCGAACCCGCAACCTGATGCTCTAACCCCTACACCATTGAGGCGGTCTATAGAGGTTATTATATTCTATTTCAAGGTCAAGCAATTTGTATATCTTTCTGGACAGGATATCAACATGATAAGGTATTGGTAGTGATATGATATGTCAAGTGATGGTTGAAGTCTCTTAATGTTTTTAAGAACACAAACTATGTAAATTGTGTGATCCTTCACTGTATTTGTTGAATACGTATCAAAGTCTCTGAATCTACGAAATCATTCTTGTAGAATTAAACTTTGTTGTTGATTTCAGAAATCTCGGATATTGGGCTTCCGACCAGTGTGGGTCATTTTGGAAAGAGGAGTACTGTCTTATTTTGAAAACAGGTAAGCTTGTTGTGGCTGTCTATGATTTGTCTGTAACTATTCATCCCGCCTACCTCTAAGAGTTGTCTCCCCTTGACATTGTAGTTTGAGACTAAATGTTTTGATTTTTTTTTTTTCATTTTATTTGTCACATTTGCTGACAATAGTCCAGTGATAAAGTAACTAGACCAGTTTTTAAAGGTTACTGTTCACATCAAGTTGTGCACCTCTGTATCTATCTTAACAATTTTACAAAACTCTGAGTTTTTCCTTTGTCATTCTTTAGTTTTGTGTTTCTTTCACTGTACTAGGGGTGATGCCAGTACAGGTTCAAAAAGAAAAGGAATGAAATATCTAGATGAAGCCAAAGTATATGTGAGTTTACCTTTATTTCATCTATTTTCTTTTTAATTTTTTTTAAATCCTGTTGCCACATGTTGAAGTAGCTCTTATGTTTTGGATACTTGAAGTATTGAAAACTGTCCTTGTAGTTCATAAGGTTGTTGATTAGCAGAGTGGTTCAGGTGTTAGCCTGTCACACCTAGGGTCCAGTTGGAGTCCTTAAATGGCAATACTCACTCACCGGATCAATGTTTAGGCAAAGACTTTCCTTACTGATGCACATGCATATCCCGGGTGGGGTGCAGATCCAGAGTGGGGTGCATGGGTGGATCAAGAGTGGGGTGCATGGGTACAGATCCAGAGTGGGGTGCATGCAGGGGTGGGGTACAGATCCAGAGTGGGGTGCAGGGGTCCAGATCTTGAGTGGGGTGCATGGGTACAGATCCAGAGTGGGGTGCAGGGGTGCAGGTGGAGTGGGATGCAGGGGTACAGATCTTAAGTGGGGTGCAGGGGTAGAGATCCAGAGCGGGATGCAGGGGTAGAGATCCAGAGTGGGGTGCAGGGGTACAGATCCAGAGTGGGGTGCAGGGGTACAGATCCAGAGTGGGGTGCAGGGGTACAGATCCAGAGTGGGGTGCAGGGGTACAGATCCAGAGTGGGGTGCAGGGGTACAGATCTTGAGTGGGGTGCACGGGTGCAGGTACAGAGTGGGGTGCAGGGGTGCAGATCCAGAGTGGGGTGCAGGTACGGAGTGGGATGCAGGGGTACAGATCCAGAGTGGGGTGCAGGGGTGCAGATCCAGAGTGGGGTGCAGGGGTACAGATCCAGAGTGGGGTGCAGGTTTAGAGTTGGGTGCAGGGTTTCAGATCTTGAGTGGGGTGCATGGGCACAGATCCAGAGTGGGGGAATGCACACTCCATGCTTTTGTACCAATCTAAACATTTGTAAATTTGAAAGCTCTATATCTGTTCATGATTTCTACCTCTAAACATACTACAACACTTGACTGACTGATCTTGTGATCTGTTTTAACCAAGCCTACATGCATACAGCAGAACTTGCTCATTTTTTTAAAGTTATTTCAATGTCTGTGCTAGGTGCCTCCAGCTGCTGGCCTTGTGATGAAAATCTCATTCTCAGATGGGACAACGCACACACTCAGTGCGGACCCAGATGATGGTGGCGTCATCACCAAACAGGTAAGTTACGCAAACATCAGTCAGCCTAGAAACATTTATGCTGAACAAGATTGAGTGACTTGAGTGAGTGAATATGGTTTTACACTGCTTTTAGCAATATTCCAGCAATATCACAGCAGGGGACACCAGAAATGGGCTTCACACATTGTACCCATGTGGGGAATCGAACCCATGTCTTTGGAGGGACAAGCGAACACTTTAACCGCTGGGCTACCCCACCGCCCCTGCTGAACTAAAAAACATGATTATACCAGTAGAAAAGAGTTACGCAATTCAAATTTTCTTTTCTTTTCTAAAAAGTTTATTTACAGCTACATCTATACAATATTTAAATGATGATGTTATATCTATAAGGCATAGATGTTTTATGCTATGTGGTAGGTAATCATTTTTGTATGATGGGCATATTCTGGTGAATATTGCGGTTTAGATCCCCAATAAGTTAAGCTTGCCATTCAAACAAAAGTCATAGACTTAGTGATCAGGCTCAGGAATTTGTTCGTTATATCAACCACTGGTTTGTCTGGTCGTGACTTAGTTATTTACCTTGATTGTAGATCATCACAAAGCTGAAATTCTGCTGAGTGTGATACAGAAGAACAATGCAAATGCTTATGATCATTTGAAAACGTATACTATGCGTGTCACTGAAATGAGTTGCTGTTTGTGAGGACTGGACTTAGGTGAATCAATACTCTCACAATTATCAATAACCCTTTCTACTTTCCTTTCAGAAATGGCTAAATGCGTTTACTGAGCACATAGGATTTAGTACACATTACACCCACCAGGGGCAGGCACAGAACGAGTACGCTGATGACATCGTTCCCCTGGGCACCATGCAAGAAGCTTTACAGGTAGGTCATGTCACAGGCAGTGGTTTGCTGGTACATCTTGTTGTGGCATGTTTATTATCATATACCTATGAATAATATGGACCATTTTGCACATACAATACTGGCTGTCGGCATATGTCCATATTGACCACCGGGCCGAAAATGCATATTAGCCATATCAGCCGTATTGCCCATCTACTAAACTGGTACGGAATGAATACACGCAAACACTCAAAACTTCAGTAGACTGACCTTAGTATATTTTGGAGTTATGTCCCTTGTGTCGTCTGCTCGATTCGCCTCAAATGATGTCTGTGTGCAAGTAATCAAATTTTGACCAGACAATTCAGTGATGCATAAAAGATGACATGCATCAACCAAGGTACCAAGTCTGACCCGATGATCCTGTTAGTCAAATCTTATGACAGGCATGGGCTGCTTAAAGGCTGTTTAGACAAGTCTAACCCAGATCTTGCCTGGGGAGAAGTGTAGACTGCTGAAGACCACATCCAACCCAGATCTTCCTGGGAGAAGTGTAGACTGCTGAAGACCACGTCTAACCCAGATCTTCCCTGGGGAGAAGTGTAGACTGCTGAAGACCACGTCTAACCCAGATCTTCCCTGGGAGAAGTGTAGACTGCTGAAGACCACGTCTAACCCAGATCTTCCCTGGGAGAAGTGTAGACTGCTGAAGACCACGACCACGCCTAACCCAGACCCAGATCTGAAGACCACGTCTAACCCAGATCTTCCCTGGGAGAAGTGTAGACTGCTGAAGACCACGTCTAACCCAGATCTTCCCTTGGAGAAGTGTAGACTGCTGAAGACCACGTCTAACCCAGATGTTCAGGGGACTCCAAAGAAGTACAGGGGCTCCTTTCATGAAGCAACCTTTACTAAGGTTAACCTTAACTCCCATTCTGTAACATTGCACTAAGATTTCCTTAGTGACTTACGATCAACTGAGTGCTTTGTGAAAGGAGGCCCTGGTACTTAAGTATTGGAGCCTGAGGAATGTGAAGTTGCATGGAGTAGAATTCCAGTCTCCAAATGTTTATATGTCAAAGACCTGCATCTGTTGAGGCTTTCCTCCTCCATGAAACTGAAAGACTGTGGTATAACTGAAGTACTGTTTGAGGCAGCATTATCCCTTCTCCTTCCAGGTTGCCCATGAAGATCCACGTTAGAATTAGTCTTCAATAACCCATCCTTGTCATAAGAGGTGACCAACGGAACCAGGTGGTCAGGCTCGCTGACCTGGTTGACACATGCGTAGATCAATGCTCATGCTGTTGATCGCTGGATTGTCTGGTCAGACCTGATTATTTCCAGATAGCTGCCATATAGCTGGAATATTGCTGAGTGCAGTGTTAAACAACACACAAACAAACAAAACAAGTGGCCCAGTGTACAGGAGATGTTCTACTGTTGTTGCAGACGGCACAGGCCCATCAGAAGCTACTTGAGAGGCAGGCGAATCTAATGTCAAAGAAGATGGAACAGTTGAAGCAGTCGTTGCCCAACGACACTCCTGTCAGTGGTGAGTAGACACACACGGGACATCAGAACCCTCGACTCCCCATGTCTAAAGCACATTCCTCATCTCCCAGGATGATCCTGGAATGTTGGAATATTGTCAGATCCCCAACTCCCCATGTCTTAGGCACATTCCTCATGTCCCAGGATGATCCTGGAATATTTGAATATTGTCAGATCCCCCAACTCCCCATGTCTTAAGCACATTCCTCATGTCCCAGGATGATCCTGGAATATTTGAATATTGTCAGATCCCCGACTCCCCATGTCTTAAGCACATTCCTCATGTCCCAGGATGATCCTGGAATGTTGGAATATTGTCAGAACCCCCAACTCCCCATGTCTTAAGCACATTCCTCATCTCCCAGGATGATCCTGGAATGTTGGAATATTGTCAGAACCCCCAACTCCCCATGTCTTAAGCACATTCCTCATCTCCCAGGATGATCCTGGAATGTTGGAATATTGTCAGAACCCCCAACTCCCCATGTCTTAAGCACATTCCTCATCTCCCAGGATGATCCTGGAATGTTGGAATATTGTCAGAACCCCCAACTCCCCATGTCTTAAGCACATTCCTCATCTCCCAGGATGATCCTGGAATGTTGGAATATTGTCAGAACCCCCAACTCCCCATGTCTTAAGCACATTCCTCATCTCCCAGGATGATCCTGGAATGTTGGAATATTGTCAGAACCCCCAACTCCCCATGTCTTAAGCACATTCCTCATCTCCCAGGATGATCCTGGAATGTTGGAATATTGTCAGAACCCCCAACTCCCCATGTCTTAAGCACATTCCTCATCTCCCAGGATGATCCTGGAATGTTGGAATATTGTCAGAACCCCCAACTCCCCATGTCTTAAGCACATTCCTCATCTCCCAGGATGATCCTGGAATATTTGAATATTGTCAGATCCCCCGACTCCCCATGTCTTAAGCACATTCCTCATGTCCCAGGATGATCCTGAAATACTGGCAGCTATGGGGTATCAAGCATAGATCTGACACACGGTGTCACAAGCATGATGGTTAATGGGTTCAAGCAGAGATCTGATGAATGTGACAAAGATTGTGGTTAAGGGGTTCAAGCAGAGATCTGATGAATGTGACAAAGATTGTGGTTAAAGGGTTCAAGCAGGGATCTGATGAATGTGACAAAGGTTGTGGTTAAGGGGTTCAAGCAGAGATCTGATGAATGTGACAAAGATTGTGGTTAAGGGGTTCAAGCAGGGATCTGATGAATGTGACAAAGATTGTGGTTAAGGGTTCAAGCAGAGATCTGATGAATGTGACAAAGATTGTGGTTAAGGGTTCAAGCAGAGATCTGATGAATGTGACAAAGATTGTGGTTAAGGGGTTCAAGCAGAGATCTGTCATGCAATGTGAAAAACATTGTGGTTAAGGGGTTCAAGCAGAGATCTGATGAATGTGACGAAGATTGTGGTTAAGGGGTTGAAGCAGGGGTCTGATGAATGTGACAAAGGTTGTGGTTAAAGGGTTCAAGCAGAGATCTGATGAATGTGACAAAGATTGTGGTTAAGGGGTTCAAGCAGAGATCTGATGAATGTGACAAAGATTGTGGTTAAGGGGTTCAAGCAGAGATCTGATGAATGTGACAAAGATTGTGGTTAAGGGTTCAAGCAGAGATCTGATGAATGTGACAAAGATTGTGGTTAAGGGGTTCAAGCAGAGATCTGTCATGCAATGTGAAAAACATTGTGGTTAAGGGGTTCAAGCAGAGATCTGATGAATGTGACGAAGATTGTGGTTAAGAGGGTTGAAGCAGGGGTCTGATGAATGGGACAAAGATTGTGGTTAAGGGGTTCAAGCAGAGATCTGATGAATGTGACAAAGATTGTGGTTAAGGGGTTCAAGCAGAGATCTGATGAATGTGACAAAGATTGTGGTTAAGGGGTTCAAGCAGAGATCTGATGAATGTGACGAAGATTGTGGTTAAGGGGTTGAAGCAGGGGTCTGATGAATGGGACGAAGATTGTGGTTAAGGGGTTCAAGCAGATATCTGATGAATGTGATGGTTGTTTCAGACGGCCTGATCTCCATGCACAAGGAAATGGTCAGCATCCAAACATTATCCCAGGACATGTTCACCAGTCTGTCTCACTGCATGACGCTCTTCAGTCAACAAGAGGAGGTAACTCTCACTGTCTTAATTAATTTGGGGCCACTGCTTATCACAGAGTCGACATGTTATTGTGTCAAGTCACAGCTATTTTCGCTCAAGTTCATTCTTGAGTTCTCCAGACAGTGGCCTTGTTCAGTGGTTCCTAATCCTTGTGGGAACACTTAAGCTCTGGACTTTGGGAACCATGCTTGCTGCAAAATGCAACATTTTGTATTGAGTAATACAAGACACTTGATAAGGATGTGCAACTTCTTTATTATTTACACACAACGTTTCTGGGCTAATACATGCCCCTTCATCAGGTGAATGAATCATAGGTCAAATACTTGACACGGAAATAAACCACTTAAATGCTTGGGACTGATACTCAGTTTCTATCAACTTGGAAAATATTGTAACCAGACATATTCCGGAACTGTTTGAGTGGGATAAAGCGTCGACTTTGAAGAAGATTAGTGAAGCAAACAAGTGCTGTTAACTTTCTTAAATTCCATACTTGCTGTGAAACTTTTTTATCTGTTCGAGACTATTCCAGCTGAAACATATAATTGAAGTTTTCTGTGATGTAAACAAAACAGAAATGTTCTATGCATTTGAAAACTTAGCATTCTTGGTATAGTTCACCTGTTCTTTAAATTGAATTAAACATTACCGATCATCAAGATTATTATGTGATTTTTTCCCAAATTCAGTTTGTGAAATTTAAGCCCTTGGCTTAATTATGGTTTTTGATTTAATTAACAGTGGGATCACATTTCATTGTTATAGCCACGGGCTTAAGTATAGGACTTCCCTGTATTAATTTGCTTGAGAGGCTTTGAGAAAACAAAGAGTAAGATGTATCAATAGCAGATAGTTAAACCGCCCAAACATCTCAAATCCAAAACCATCATTATATACTCCTAAATGCACAGATTTACACTACAGCAACTGAGCTGGCTCTTGGTGATTATTTATGCCAAATAAAGTACCGGTAAGTAGTCATATCTACAGAATGCAGACTAAAGTCGTGTAAACAAATTGTCTGCATTCAAATTTATATATAAATGTACCTAAATGCTCTGCGTCTTGATTCATTGACTTACTCTTCACATATTATATATCATGTATAGAGTTTATTACATGAGCAAGTGTGTCATACGACCTATATGAAACAAGTGTGAAATTTTTTTATTGCCCAAACGAGAGCAAGGGCAAAACTTAATTTTGCATGAGTTTCATATAAGTTGTATGACACACATGCTTGAGTATAATAATTTCTTTATTATCCATTTATTCATGTACATTTGTGCAGTAAAACATGGTAAGCAAGTGTGACGGTCCTCTTCGTTTCAATTGTTTAATGACGTCACAGACGACGAAATACAGAAACAATTGTTGCTAGGCAAAAGTATGTGCACATATGATATATATGACACTGGTTATGTTTCACCATATGGGTAATAAAGCATCTTACTGCTCATGTACTGCTCATGTACCACTGATTGTGGTTAATAATAGAGAAAGAAAAGAACCTGAACAGAATCTGAATGTAAGTGGATTCAACCAGTTCAACAAGTGTTGGCGTGATTAGTGCTGGCTAAAATAATCAATAATCGGAAATATTGTCCATGGGAAAGATAAAAATTGTGTTATCGATAATATTGTACGTTAACTTTTGTGATAGAAAAAAGTTTTAATTTTCTTACACAATATAAAAATTTAGGACTTTATTCATGGTGTTCATCTAAAAAAAATCAGGATGCTGTTTAATTAAAAATCCATGCAAAAACATGTCACCACTCACCAATGCTGTTAAATAGATTCATTTCTTTACAACATTTTTAAAAAATGTGGTCAAGTTACGTCTCCGATATTTATTGATAATCAATATTTAGTTAACGATTATTGATCTCTATGATCTCTATCAATAGCCATCCCTAGACATGATGTCATCGTGGACTCATTTGTACTGTAGTCTTTATGCTAATTGCATATGTATGTAAAGCAAATTGTATCAAATAATGGCCTTGTTAGTCTATTAATATCTATGTACGTTTAAAGTTAAAAAAAAGTGGGGGTGTACTTTCAAACTTATTGTAACTCGTGCAAAATTGTGCACTGCCCTCGCTCTCGCTCGGGCAATACAAAATTTCACACTTGTTTCGTATAAGTCATATGACACACTTGCTCGTGTAATAATCTCTATACATGGACCAAATGGCCAGGCCCTGAAACAAGTCTGCAATGTTTGTTGATTCAAACGTGTTCAATAAACATAGTGCCAGCCATGGTAGATTGATGTTTTTGTGTATGCTACTCAAAAGAGGTTAAGGAAAAATTGACTTTTCATAGCACTCTCCTACCCAGAGTTCAATGCGGCAAGCCAGCATAGTACCTCTGCCACAGGCCAGAAAGATGTGACGATTCATCACATCTTGCACCATCCATTCAATATAATGTACATATTTCTTAACTCTTTTATTTTTGACGAGTCTACACATCTAATTAAACATCTTTGAAAGAATGGTTTAGTTTCACGGAGAAAATATCCTAAAACTTGTAACACTATTTCGATTTGCGTAGCGTCACGTGCTGTCATCGAAGCCAACAGAGAGCAAACGATGCAACCAGTTTGATATCTAAATATGTACTGTCATAAATCTTACTGTAGTAGTTGTGGAAGAATATATATATACTCACACGCAAAAGAAACGTAAGTTTCTTACTCAAAGGAGGAATTAAACTCAGACCCCTAAAATTATGACAACGTTGGTAAATAATGATGGTTGATGGTGTTGTTAACATTTTCTGTTGTGTTTTGCAAAGCCAGTGTGGGAACAGAAGAAAAAAAACGAATCGCCAGAATGCACCGCTTCAATGGCGATGTGGGTATCATGCACACTTTCCTCATGCAATCAAACATGCACGGTTGTCACCATCTTCAGTGGGTATAAAACTGAGTCAAAATCTTTGGCCGGTCAGTCTTTGTTCAACAATGCCATGTTTAAATCAACTTGAGAGGAACCAGGCTATCGGACGGTTGGAAGCTGGAGAGTCTGTCCAAGATGTTGCCCGTCACTTTAATGTCAACATAACCATGATCTACCGTCTCCAGCATCGATACAACACAACGCAGACTACAGATGACCTTCCCCGAAGCAGGCGACCTAGGGTCACCACCCCTCGACAAGATCGACACATTACACGTCAACACCAGCGAGATCCTTTCCTGACAGCAAGCCAGACTGCTCGAGACACCACAGGAACGCATAATCGACGCATCAGCCATGACACTGTCATCTGACGTCTGCGTTCCAACAACCTACGATGTCGCCGACCAGCACGTCGTCCTGTCCTCCAACCACGGCATCGACAAGCACGACTTCAGTGGGCACAGGGTCATCAAAACTGGCATCAACGTGAATGGAGACGTGTCATATTCTCTGATGAGAGTTGGTTTTGTGTGTCACATGCAGATGGAAGGGTCAGAGTTTGGCGACGTCAAGGAGATCGTTTTGCTGACAGAAATGTTTTGGAAAGGGATGCATGGGGTGGACCTAGTGTCATGATTTGGGCCAGAATTGGACTTAATGCAAGACTTGGACCAATGTGCTTCCAGAATGTGGGTCAAGGTCAGGGACATGGGGTCACAGCTCAGCGTTACATTGACCAAGTCATCAGACCCCATGTTGTTCCATTTTCCGCCCAACATCATAACCACCTTTTCCAGCAGGATAACGCTCGTCCACATGTTGCAAGAGTTACCATGGACTTTCTTCAACAACACAACATCCGTGTCCTACCGTGGCCAGCTCTCAGCCCTGACTTGAACCCCATCGAGCACTTGTGGGATGAGGTTCAAAGGCGCCTGAATGAAGTGCGACCAGTGCCTACAACTGCTGATGAACTTCGTACAGCTGTTCTGGATGTGTGCAGGAGGATCCCCAGAGCCTTTACGAATCGTCTGATCCACTCCATGTACAGGAGATGTGTTGCAGTGATCAATGCTAATGGTGGCCACACCAGGTATTGAATGACGTCATGGCAATTGACTAGAATCTGCGCAACTCTTTTGCTGTCACAAAATGTAATGACGTCATCTGTTTTTGTTGCCAATGAACTGTTCTTGCTCAAATTTCTGTATATCTGACGCTGTTGGTATTTGTATTCTATACTGTTAAAAAATAAGTAAATATATACTTTATACTAGACTTGCGTTTCTTTTGCGTGTGAGTTTATGTAGCAATGTTAAAAATTGTGAAGAGTGCTCAGAAAAGCTTGCGTTGGGCCAGTCTCTTATTATGAATATGCGTGTTTGTTTACAAACAAGAGAAAAGTCTGATCATGTGATATGCAAATTAGCCTGTGGCAGGGATGTTATGCTGAGTCATCACTGCGCCGGAGTGTGTTTTCGTGGTAATATGAATGTGTGAAGCCTATATCTGGTGCCCCACTGTGATATTGCCACAATATTGCTAAATTCATCATAAAATCAAAGTCAGTCACTTAATAATAATTTGTAATATGAAGAAAGATAATATTGAGGAGTATCCTTGAACATAGTGACTCACTTTATATCCCTGTGTGAAATGTGTTTGTTAGACGTAGACAGGGTGACGTGGTAGCCCAGTGGTTAATGCCGAAGACCCGGGTTCGATTCCCCACATGGGTACCATGTGTGAACCCCATTTCTGGTGTCCCTTGCCGTGATATTGCTGGAATATTGCTAAAAGCGGTGTAAACGAAACTCACTCACTGTAAGACGTAGACTGTAGTAGAAGTTTAGTCAGTGGACTCAGTCTGTGATGACCTTGATACAGTGTCTGATACTGAGACGGGTGGGGTTCCATCACAGCAGGGGATAGTAGAACCTCCCCAGGTAGCACCAGGAAGTGTCCTCTACAGTTGGTTGGGCTGTACACAACTGGTGAGATGCTGGGATGATTATTCTGGTGATGATGATAGACTTTGAACTCTACTTATGACGAATATTTAATCTGGGGTAAATTGAAATAGTATCCTTTTCA